TCCCTGTGTCGAGGGGCGGCAGCGCGCCGCTCCTCACTCCTCCTCGTTCCCTCCCACAGAGGCTCCCTTGCAGACTCTCCACCTGGACGTGTGGGGCCCAGCCCGCGTCCGTGGACAGGGCCACGAGCGGTACTTCCTGCTGGTCGTCGACGACTACACGCGTTACACCATGGTTTTCCCCTTGCGCACCAAGGGGGAGGTCCCTGATGTTTTGATCCCCTGGATCCGTGCTACTCGTCTCCAGCTCCGCGAGCGGTTCTAGTCGGACTTTCCTGTCCTGCGTCTGCACTCTGACAGAGGTGGTGAGTTCTCCTCAGACCTCTTGGCAGCCTACTGTGCGGAGCACGGCATCCGCCAGTCGTTCACGCTTCCGGCCTCTCCGCAGCAGAATGGGGTTACTGAGCGCCGCATTGGCTTAGTCATGGAGGTCGCTCGTACCTCCATGATCCATGCGGCTGCCCCCCATTTTCTGTGGCCGTTTGCGGTCCGGTACGCCGCGCATCAGCTCAACCTCTGGCCCCGTGTCTCCTTGCCGGAGACCTCGCCCACACTGCTGTGGACGGGGAAGGTTGGCGATGCGTCGCGTTTCCGGGTCTGGGGTGCTCGTGCCTTTGTCCGCGATACCACCGCGGACAAGCTCTCCGCCCGCGCTGTTCCCTGTGTCTTCCTTGGCTTTGTCCCTGACGCGCCTGGTTGGCAGTTTTACCACCCCACCTCGCGCCGTGTCTTCCCCTCTCAGGACGTCACGTTCGACGAGTCGGTTCCCTTTTACCGTCTCTTCCCCTACCGCACTGCCCCTCTCCCCCCCCCGCCGCTCTTCCTCGCTCCAGGTGCTCCCCAGGTAGACCCCCTCCCCGCTCCCGGTCCTGCTCCTTCAGGTGTGTCTCAGGTAGACCCTCCTCCTCAGGTTGAGGTCACTGGTGACTCAGGTGCTGCTGAGGGTGGTGCTGCTACTGGGGGTGCTGAGCCTGGGGGTGCGGAGCCTGGGGGTGCTGAGCCTGGGGGTGCTGAGCCTGGGGGTGCGGAGCCTGGGGGTGCGGAGACTGGAGGTGCTGAGCCTGGGTGTGAGGAGTCTGGGGGTCCTGAGCCTGGGGGCGCTGAGGCGTCTGGTGAGCAGTCTCCCGGGAGCGGCCGTCTCCGTAGTCGCTCTGCTGGTGCCTCGCCGCTGCACTCTAGTCGTCGACTCCCTCTCTCCCCACAGCAGCTGTTTGAGTGGTACGCTGGCCGTCAGGGTCGCGCTGCTGGAGCTAGGGGCCCTGGTGCGGGAGGTGCTGGAGCTGGTGACTCTGCCACTGGAGTTGTTTCTAGTGGAGGGTCTGGAGCTGCTGAGGGTGCTGGAGCTGGAGGTTCTGGAGCTGCTGGAGGTACTGGCGCTGGTGGCGCTGGAGCTGGAGGTTCTGGAGCTGCTGAGGGTGCTGGCGCTGAGGGTTCTGACTCTGCTGTTGCGCGGCTTCCTTGGAGTAGCCGCCTTCGTCCGCGTATGCCTCTCACCTCGCAGCAGCTGCACGACTGGTACGATCGCCGTCAGGGTCGAGCTTCTGGAGCTCGGGGCTCTGCCGCTGGAGGTACTTCTGCTGTCGTCACTGGAGCTGGGAGTGGTGCTGGTCCCGGAGGTGCTCGTACTGGAGGTACTGGAGCTGCTGGGGCTGGAGGTGCTGAGTCTGAGGGTGCTGCTGCTGGAGACCCTGGGACTGGAGGTGTCGGTTCTGGGGGTGCTGCTGTTGGTGGAGCTGGTCCTGGAGGAGCTGGCGCTGCGGGTTCTGGAGCTGCTGGAGGTGCTGGCGCAGGTAGCCCTGGAGCTGGAGGTTCTGGAGCTACTGAGGGTGCTGGCGCTGGAGGTTCTGTAGCTGCTGGAGGTACTGGCGCTGGAGCTGGAGGTTCTGGAGCTGCTGAGGGTGCTGGCGCTGGAGGTTCTGTAGCTGCTGGAGGTACTGGCGCTGGTGGCGCTGGAGCTGGAGGTTCTGGAGCTGCTGAGGGTGCTGGCGCTGGAGGTTCTGGAGCTGCTGGAGGTGCTGGAGCTGCTGGGGGTACTGGAGCTGCTGGTGCTGGTGTCACTGCACAGCCGCGCCTGTTCTTCGCTCTACCGTCTCCGTCGTCTCAGCCACCGCCTGACTCTGTGCTTCGCCAGGTTCTTAGTCTCCCTTCGTCTACTGGTCTTCCGTTGCAGCCTGGTCCATCGCTGCCTGCTCCTTCTCCTTACACTGAGCAGCTAGGGAGTCATACTGAGCGTCGTGAGCCTGCGTCGCGTCCTGTCTCGCCTGTCTGTTCTAGTCGTTCCGGTCGTCGTGTTCCTCGTCCACGTCTGCCGGCTGTCCCCGACACCCACCTAGTAGTCCGTCGTCCTTCCTCTCCTCCACAGCGTGTTCCTCTGCCGTCCCCTCCTGCGTCTTCTCTGCCTGTCGTTGCGGACCCCGAGTCTGACCGGTTTCGTGCTGAGCACCCTACTGTCACGCGTCTGCTAGCCACTGTTGTCACTGACCCGTCGTTTGAGTCTGCTGCTACGTCTGCCTTAGTTGCTGAGCTTGTTGACTTTGCTGCTGCCTGTCGTCTAGACTACGCCGCTAGTCTTGTTGCTGAGTCTGAGTCTGTCTGTCCTCCGTCCGTCGGGGGTGAGTGTGCTCTTGGCACGGACGTCCTTGAGGACAGGCAGGAGGACCTTGAGTGTCTTGCAGCCGCTGCGCCTCATCTCGTGTCCATGCTGCTTGCCCCTGAGGGAGACCCGGATGCTCCAGACATCCCGACCCCGCGCTCTTACGCTGAGGCGATCGCGGGTGAGTACTCCTCTCAGTGGCAGACAGCCATGGACGCAGAGATGGCATCCTGGAAGTCCACAGGCACCTACGTCGACGAGGTTCCCCCACCTGGGGCGAACATCGTCAGTGGCATGTGGATTTTCAGGGTGAAGCGGCCGTTAGGTTCTCCGCCTGCCTTCAAGGCGCGTTACGTTGCACGAGGTTTCAGTCAGCGAGAGGGAGTAGACTTCTTCCAGACCTTCTCCCCCACCCCGAAGATGACCACTCTTCGGGTGCTGCTGCACGTTGCCGCTCAGCGTGACTACGAGCTTCACTCTCTTGACTTCAGCACAGCCTTCTTACAGGGCAGCCTGCACGAGGAGATCTGGCTGCGCCGCCCACCTGGCTTCACTGGGTCGTTCCCTCCTGGTACCCAGTGGAGCCTCAGGCGGCCGGTCTACGGTCTCCGCCAGGTGCCACGTGAGTGGCACGACACACTGAGGACGACACTTGCGGCTCTTGGGTTTGCTCCGTCGACTGCTGACCCGTCGCTGTTTCTGCGCACCGACACTTCGCTGCCGCCGTTCTACATCCTCGTGTACGTCGACGACTTGGTCTTTGCCACTGCTGACACTGAGGCTCTCGCCCTGGTGAAGTCGGAGCTGCAGAAGAGACACACGTGCACAGACCTGGGTGAGCTGACAAGCTATCAGGTCCTTCAGCGCTTCGGCTTCACCTGGTCCTCGGCACAGCACACTCCTCTGGCTACAGGTCACTCGCTCTCAGCTCCACCTTCGGACGAGTCCGTAGAGCCGAGTGGTCCTTACCCAGAGCTAGTGGGCTGCCTCATGTACCTGATGACCTGCACTCGTCCTGACCTTGCGTACCCTCTTGGCCTTCTGGCTCGCTACGTGGCTCCTGGTCGGCACCGAAAGGTGCACATGGATGCTGCTAAGAGGGTACTACGCTACTTGTGCAGTACATCGGGCATGGGGCTCGTGCTTGGAGGACGGAGCGACGTTGTCCTCACTGGGCACTCAGACGCTTCTTGGGTTGACGACCAGGCTACGCAGCGGTCGTCACAGGGTTACACCTTCAGCCTTGGCTCTGGTTCGGTTTCGTGGCGTTCTACACGCTCGTCTTCAGTTCTCAGCTCCAGTTATGAGGCTGAGATCTACGCCACAGCCATGGCTGCACAGGAGTTACGCTGGCTCACCTACCTGCTGACCGACTTGGGAGAGCGGCCTCGTTCTCCTCCAGTGCTGTACGTCGACAACAAGGCAGCCATTGCCTTGTGTGAGGAGCACAGACTGGAGCACAGAACAAAGCACATCGCTCTGCGTTACTTCCTGGCTCGAGAGCTGCAGCAGCGTGGTCAGCTTCGTCTGCGTTACGTGGCCACTCGGGCCAACACTGCTGATATATTCACCAAGGCACTTCAGTCTGGTGATCATCAGCGTTTCTGCACCGTGCTAGGGCTTGTGCCCACTTTTCCTCACTTGCTGTAGGCTTTGCCTGTACTGTGATCTATATATATATACCTGCATGCTTGCTTTGCTAGGTAGAGATCACTGTGCTGTTTGTGTTGCATATATACCCCTGCATGTGAACTGGCCTTGTGGCCGCTTGCTTGTGCTCAGAATGCGTGGTGATCTTGAGATCCACCCTGAGCTTTGCTTTGCTTTGTTCTCTTGCTTGACCGGTCTTGTGACCTTTGGTTGTTCTTGCTATCCCCCACTTTTCCTATGGGGGTGTGTCAAACTATGTTTCTATGTTGTAGGCTGTAGTGGGGTAGCCTCTACTGAGTACAACACTTTAGGGTTAGACATTGCCCTACTTGTACTCATCCTTGCTTCCTAGTCAATCATTCCTGCCTCTTCATTCTGACATAGAGAAGCAGAAGATCCAAGGGAAACGCACAACCAGCTCGAGACATGTAGGCGGGGGGAATGGAGGGGGAGGGGGGTGGAGGAATGGGAGAGGGGGAGGTTGGTCGGGCATGATCACATAAAAAACGGCAGAGAAGGCAAATGGTATGTGCTAGGATAGTTGTGATCCCACCCATATCCACGCACTTTCCCATATACGGCAACACTATTTGAGATGTTGTGTCACGAATAAACGGATGCTAGAGGCTGTAAGAGCAACATGTCCTCCATAGGCTCCGTTTTTACTTCAGCATGATAATCTTACAAGTTACAATATTCTCTGGCCCACTCCCTTCCCCAATATAAATGACCACCATTGACATGTCTACACCAATGAATGCTAAAGGAAGAAAGAGCAGTATGTCCTCCAGAGGCTGCCTTTGTACTTGAGCATATAAGCCTCATCTTTATCAACACTGTACCCCTCCACCAGCTCCCTATTCACACTGTGCATCTTCTCCCTCACATTCTTCGCCTGCCTCGCCCCAAAGCAGTTGCTCGACACCCCACTCCTCCCCTTCCTCACGTGCACCACAGGGGCCCCAGCCAACTCCTTCCCATGCTTCTCCCAGTAGAAAGAACGACTTGCGATGCAGTACAGGGCGAGGGAGGGGCAGGATGTGCGTAGGGAAGCAAGGGTGTGCTGCTCGCATGTGCGGGTGGGGAAGAATATCGCTCGCAAGTTCGGAGCCTTGATAAGAGGGAGCTTCCCTGCTTGTTCCTCTTCCTCTTCCTCCTCCTGCTCCTCCTGCCGCCAATGCGGCTGCTGCAGCTGCTGCAACACCCTCTGCCTCTGGTTGCGCTCCTGAAACTCTTCCACTGTAACCTCCTCCTCACCATCATCCCGCCGCCTCTCAAAATCCAGATCTCTCCCAAACCGCTCCTCACTCTCCACGACAATCCCAAGGCTGCGCAGGCAGCCCCACTCCACGCCCACCTGCCCTACAGGCACCCTGTGCCTCACTATAAGCTCCTCCACTGTCCGCGCTATAGCGCCGAGCCACTCGACCCAGGAGAATTCAGGGGAGCTGCGGCGATGCAAGCTGTGCCAGTAAGGGGGCGGAGCAGGGGTGGCCCAAGAGGAAGAATCTATGTTTTGAGAAGAGATAGAGGAGACAGCATCATCGCGGGAGTGCCAGTCGCTGGGAGGGCCGTTGAGGTAGGCCACTCGGGCGGATGCGAGGCGGAGGGAGGAGATGACCAGCCGCTCCTGGCCGTAGAGTGAGAGGTGGTGGAGATCGAGAGGAAGGGTGCTCTTGCAGGAGAGGACCAGCCGTTTGGCCACGGCTGAGAAGGCCTTGAGGGAGCGGGAGAGGGTGAGGAAGAGCGTGAGGGTGCTCTGTGCGAAGTAGAAGCGGAGGACGCGAGCTGATGAGAGGTCAAAACAGAATCGGTTAATGCCGCTGCCACGAGGGACGACGGACGGGTTATCCAAATCCCAGCCCTCATAAAGCGTGAATTCCGTGAGCTGCGGCGTGAGCGTGGCGACATACTTGAAATCCACGTGACTCCAGTCCACGTGCTTCAGAATCAGACTGCGCAGCGCCTTCAACTCCCCCGCCCACCCGTCCGAGAGAACCCACTTGCCGCGCCCCAGCTTCAGCCGCTGCACACGTGGGCAGCCGAAGTACTGCGTCCAGTGATCCTGCTCAATGAGATCCCTATGATACTGCTCCACGGCACGCCCATCGCCGTGTTCCCTGTCAAAGAGCTGGGAGTAGTCCACACAGCCGCGCAGCTTGAGGGTGAGCGAGGTGAGGGAGGCGAAGGCCCACTCGTCCTGGGAGACGATGGTGTCGAGCTGCATGACGTGCGTGAAGGTGAGTGCGAGGGACCTGAGGCCACGGTGGCGCAGGAAGAAGGCGACGCTCCTCTCCCACTGCGGGTGCAGGTTGTTGTAGACCAAGGAGATGGGGTGCTGGGCCTGCGGATCGGAGAGGGACGGGAGAAGGGAGCACTGGAAGGTTGGCACAGAAGCGCGATCCAAAGGAGGCGACGCTCCTCTCCCACTGCGGGTGCAGGTTGTTGTAGACCAGAGAAATGGGGTGCTGGGCCTGCAGAGAGGGGGTTGGGAATGGGATGGGAATGAGGCGCTAAGAATTTCAGATTGGAAAGCAACGCCCTTCTCCCACTGCGGGTGGAGGTTGTTGTAGACCAGAGCGATGGGGTGCTGGGCCTGCGGAGCGGAGAGAGACGGGAGAAGGAGTGAGGCACCGGAAGGTCGTTTGAATTCTGATCTGAAGCGTGATCGAAAGGAGGTGACGCTCCTCTCCCACTGCGGGTGCAGGTTGTTGTATACCAGAGAGATGGGGTGCTGGGCCTGCAGAGACGGATGGGTGGGAATGGAGGAGAGAATATGAAAGCTAGATGGCTGGGAGATGTGGCGGTTACTGCAATGCCACGAGCACAACACTCTCAGCAGGGGCTGTTGGAAGCACACACCAAAAGCCAGAATTGCTAGAAAACCGTCTCAGTTCATGCGGTTTTTATATATGGGAAATATTTTCACAACTCTCGCAGCAAGGGCTGTTGGAAGCACAGCAAAAGCCAAGCGCAACAGAGAGCATCACTCACGGAGAAAGAGAGGACGAGGTTGCGGAGCCGTTTGCTGGCCATGGCGCAGCACAGAAGTCTTGAAGGGTAAAGCATGTGAGACGACTTCAAAGGAGAACAAAACTCACAGAGAAGGAAAGGACGAGGTTGCGAAGTTTTTTGCTGGCCAGGGCGCAGCACAGCAGCGCCCACCCACTGCCATAGGTTTTCACATTCTTCCTGTGCTGCCCGGCTGCTGTGAAGTCAGGGTCGACGAATTTGACGGGCAGGTTTCTGCCCGCTGGGGGCTGCATTGTGGCGGTGAGATACCAGGGCGTCTTTCGCCTGCCCCGCAGGAGGGGGTTGTCGGGGTGGGAGGAGCCGGGCGGCAGCAGCAGGCAGCGGAACACCCGGTGCCAGAGAGACACCGGTAGCATGTCCATGGGATCACGGGGGGTGGCTGCTGGATGAGATAGGTGGGAATGGGAATGATGGGGGGATGAAAGGGGAATGCCAGACGCCAGCAGTGGGTTTATGGTATCAGGGCGGGTGGCGGCTGGAAGGACAGATGGGTGAGATGGAAGAGATGGGTGAAATGGGTGAAATGGGCGATGGTTGAGATGGATGAGGATGGGTGGGAAGGGGATGGATGGGGGCTGTGAAACGGGAAAAGTTAGACGCTGGCAGCACGTCTATTGGATCAGGGGCGATCGATAACGGAAGGAGAGATGGGTGGAATGGGAGAGATGGGTGGAATGGGAGAGATGGGTGGAATGGGAGCGATGGGTGGAATGGGAGAGATGGGTGGAATGGGAGCGATGGGTGGAATGGGAGAGATGGGTGGAATGGGAGCGATGGGTGGAATGGGAGAGATGGGTGGAATGGGAGAGATGGGTGGAATGGGAGAGATGGGTGGAATGGGAGAGATGGGTGGAATGGGAGAGATGGGTGGAATGGGAGCGATGGGTGGAATGGGAGAGATGGGTGGAATGGGAGCGATGAGTGGAATGGGAGAGATGGGTGGAATGGGAGAGATGGGTGGAATGGGAGCGATGGGTGGAATGGGAGAGATGGGTGGAATGGGAGAGATGGGTGGAATGGGAGCGATGGGTGGAATGGGAGAGATGGGTGGAATGGGAGAGATGGGTGGAATGGGAGAGATGGGTGGAATGGGAGAGATGGGTGGAATGGGAGAGATGGGTGGAATGAGAGCGATGGGTGGAATGGGAGCGATGGGTGGAATGGGAGAGATGGGTGGAATGGGAGAGATGGGTGGAATGGGAGCGATGGGTGGAATGGGAGAGATGGGTGGAATGGGAGCGATGGGTGGAATGGGAGCGATGGGTGGAATGGGAGAGATGGGTGGAATGGGAGCGATGGGTGGAATGGGAGCGATGGGTGGAATGGGAGAGATGGGTGGAATGGGAGAGATGGGTGGAATGGGAGCGATGGGTGGAATGGGAGAGATGGGTGGAATGGGAGAGATGGGTGGAATGGGAGAGATGGGTGGAATGGGAGAGATGGGTGGAATGGGAGAGATGGGTGGAATGGGAGAGATGGGTGGGATGGGAGAGATGGGAGGGATGGGTGGGATGGGTGGAATGGGTGGGATGGGCGGGATGGGCGGGATGGGCGGGATGGGCGGGATGGGCGGGATGGGTGGGATGGGTGGGATGGGTGGGATGGGTGGGATGGGTGGGATGGGTGGGATGGGTGGGATGGGTGGGATGGGCGGGATGGGCGGGATGGGCGGGATGGGCGGGATGGGTGGGATGGGTGGGATGGGTGGGATGGGTGGGATGGGTGGGATGGGAGAGATGGGTGGAATGGGAGAGATGGGTGGAATGGGAGCGATGGGTGGAATGGGAGAGATGGGTGGAATGGGAGAGATGGGTGGAATGGGAGAGATGGGTGGAATGGGAGAGATGGGTGGAATGGGAGAGATGGGTGGAATGGGAGAGATGGGTGGAATGGGAGAGATGGGTGGAATGGGAGAGATGGGTGGAATGGGAGCGATGGGTGGAATGGGAGAGATGGGTGGAATGGGAGAGATGGGTGGAATGGGAGCGATGGGTGGAATGGGAGAGATGGGTGGAATGGGAGAGATGGGCGGGATGGGAGCGATGGGTGGAATGGGAGAGATGGGTGGGATGGGTGGGATGGGTGGGATGGGTGGGATGGGTGGGATGGGTGGGATGGGTGGGATGGGCGGGATGGGCGGGATGGGCGGGATGGGCGGGATGGGCGGGATGGGTGGGATGGGTGGGATGGGTGGGATGGGTGGGATGGGTGGGATGGGAGAGATGGGTGGAATGGGAGAGATGGGTGGAATGGGAGCGATGGGTGGAATGGGAGAGATGGGTGGAATGGGAGGGATGGGTGGAATGGGAGAGATGGGTGGAATGGGAGAGATGGGTGGAATGGGAGAGATGGGTGGAATGGGAGAGATGGGTGGAATGGGAGAGATGGGTGGAATGGGAGAGATGGGTGGAATGGGAGAGATGGGTGGAATGGGAGAGATGGGTGGAATCGGAGCGATGGGTGGAATGGGAGAGATGGGTGGAATGGGAGAGATGGGTGGAATGGGAGCGATGGGTGGAATGGGAGAGATGGGTGGAATGGGAGAGATGGGCGGGATGGGAGCGATGGGTGGAATGGGAGAGATGGGTGGGATGGGTGGGATGGGTGGGATGGGTGGGATGGGTGGGATGGGTGGGATGGGTGGGATGGGCGGGATGGGCGGGATGGGCGGGATGGGCGGGATGGGCGGGATGGGTGGGATGGGTGGGATGGGTGGGATGGGTGGGATGGGAGAGATGGGTGGAATGGGAGAGATGGGTGGAATGGGAGCGATGGGTGGAATGGGAGAGATGGGTGGAATGGGAGAGATGGGTGGAATGGGAGCGATGGGTGCACATTTTAATTATTTTAAATAAAATATGAAAAAAAAACTAAAAAAAAACTGGATGCATTAATTGCTAGTTATGTAACATGTAGGAGGTCTTGTCTAGTTAAATTATACTAGCGTGGTAGTAGTGATTTTTTGGACAACTAGGTTGTTTTTGTGATTTATTTTGTTGTGCTTTACTACCATATAATATGCATATGAAAAAATGAATGTAATGATCGGTGGATGTAGATGAATAAAATGATTTTATATAAAATGCCATATATTGTGTAATATATGATATGATAAATGATAAATACATGTCTTAAGTTTGATATGAATAATGATTAATTACTGACAATCCATGATGCATATATATATATATATATATATATATTTTAACCCACAGACATGCATTGTTAATGAAATGATGGATGAATGAACACTCACACAAGCCAACACATTCACAACCAAACGCATGCACAGCAAAAAACCCAACCGAAAATCTACGATAAGACGTAAAAGATGCAAAACAAAATAAAGATGGCAATATGGGAAATCCTATAAGTGACAACTACAAATTGTCCAGATTGCACTCGTCTTCTTGATCAGCAAAACTCCTGAAAACAAAAACAAAGTAGATAAAGAGAAAAAGAGATCACAGAAAAATGGTAAATATGAATAATCAGGACCAAGAGAGAGGGAACATGAGAGAGAGAACGAGAGAGAGAGAACGAGAGAACAAGAACGAGAAAACGAGAGAGAAAGAGAACGAGAGAGAGAGAACGAGAGAGAGAGAACGAGAGAACATGAACGAGAAAACGAGAGAGAGAACGAGAGAGAGAGAGAGGAAACGGGAGAGAGAGAACGAGAGAGAGAGAACGAACGAGAGAGAGAAAGAGAGAACGAGAGAGATAGAACGAGAGAGAGAGAACGAGAGAGAGAACGAGAGAGAAAGAGAGAACGAGAGAGAGAAAACGAGAGAGAGAGAGAGAACGAGAGAGAGAGAGAGAGAGAGAGAGAGAACGAGAGAACGAAAGAGGGAGAGAGAACGAGAGAGAGAAGGAGAGAGAAAGAGAACGAGAGAGAGAGAACGAGCGAGAGAGAGAACGAGAGAGAGAACGAGAGAGAACGAGAGAGAGAGAACGAGAGAGTGAGAACGAGAGAGTGAGAACGAGAAAGAACGAACGAGAAAACGAATTTGTAAGAATCAGCAGATACACACTTGAACATCAGTGAATAAAGTTGGAATCAAGTACATACGACTTACAAACCACATACTAATCTGCTGCTGCCTATAAAGAAAGGGTAAGGAAGAGCCATAGAAAGTGGACGGGAGAAAACTACATGAACTAAAAAAAAAACGGTAGTTTAGATGAAACCAAAATGAAGATTACAAGGCCCCTGCAGATTCTAACAAACAAACAGAAGCTTTTCTTTCGTTCTCTAGCACGCTTTCGTTCTCGCTTTCTCTATCGCTACTCTACTGCTCTCACCTGCTCTCCCCCTCTCTCTTTCCCAAGATGATGGTCAAACACAAACTCACCGTTAATAAGAGGAGGGAGTGAGGCAACAATGTGCTTGACCGTTTCTGGAAGCAGATGGTGGGATATAGAAGCAAATCAAACAGCTACAAAAGACTTCAACCGATTATGGCTTCAAAATGAACCTATATACTAGATAAAAAAATGGAGACCTTACTAATTAGCATTTAAGCCGGAATGCGTTGCAATATTTCAAAACGACGTAGGAGTATGAGTTGCGGCCCTTGAGAACAAACGAATGAAAACGACGTCCTGCTAGGTCGAAAAATGCTTCAAAACGAGATAATCAACAAGAAAGAATTGATGCGGGTTTATCAATGACTTGAATAGTACTTCGAGATGAGAAGTAGATGTTTAGGCTGAGACATTAATCTGCTAACTAGGTTCTAGCTGGCGGCTTTAGTCTCTGACCTTGGTAGGCTGAGGGTGAGTAGCAGGAGCCAAACAGAACGACGAGAGGAAGAAAGAGGAAGAAATGAAACCAAACCCTAACCCAACTCACGCTCATCTCACTAAACATTTAAGTTGAAAAAAAATAACGGTCCTGTAGCGCAGTTGGGTCGAAGATACATGAGAGATTAGGAGGTCTTAGTTTCGATTCCTGGTGCTGCCTTTTACAAATCCCTTCTTAGAAACAACCTAGTGGTCTTACATAGTTGATTGTAATTTACCACTCTAAAACATATGGCGAAAACATAAAAAACATGATAATCACACAATTCATTTTAATCTAAATACGGCGAAGTAATCAAAGTCGTTCAAAATTCTAACGCATGTTAAAAGTGTTGCTTCGCAACCCTAAGACGATTTCGTCGCCTCTTGTTTTTTTGTTTTTTTTTTACAATTTAATTATATCTAGGGTATAGCAGGGCGCTGGCGCAGGGCAGGGCGCTGACGCAGGGCAGGGCGCGGGCGCAGGGCAGGGCGCTGGCGCAGGCTGCAGCAGTGCGTGACGCGAGGGGCAGCAGAGCGCGACGCGACGGGCTGCCTTAGGGCGCGACGCGCGGGCTGCAGCAGAGCGCGACGCGCGAGGCAGCAGAGCGCGACGCGCGAGGCAGCAGCGCGCGACTCGTGGGCTGCGTTAGGGCACAGGCTGCAGGGGCAGGACGCACGGGCTCCAGGGGCGGTGTGCGGGCTCCAGGGGCGACGCGCGGGCTGCAGGGGCCGCGCGGACGGGCTGCAGAGGCGACGCGCGGCTCGGCAGGTCCGCGCGCGAGCTGTAGGGGCGGCGCGAACGGGCCGCAGAGGCGGCGCGCGGGCTCCAGGGGCGACGCGCGGGCTGCAGGGGCCGCGCGGACGGGCTGCAGAGGCGACGCGCGGCTCGGTAGGTCTGCGCGCGGGCTGCAGGGGCAGCGTGAACGGGCTGCAGGGGCAGCGTGAACGGGCTGCAGGGGCAGCGTGAACGGGCTGCAGGGGCAGCGTGAACGGGCTGCAGGGGCGACGTACGGGCTGCAGGAGCGACGTACGGGCTGCAGGGGCAGCGCGTGGGCCACAGGGGCAGGCGCGGCTGCAGGGGCAGCACGGTAGTGAGAAGATTTGAACAAGGATGGATGAACCATGAAATGAAGTGAGTACAAATATGAAACCCTAATTGGTTGTACCCCCTATGGGATACCCCACTATAGCCTACACAACAGCATAAGCTATAATGTTCTGACACACCCCCATAGGCAAAGTGGGGGAGAACAAGGGGTCACAAGACTAGTCAAGCAAAGTAAAGCAAAGCAAGCTCAGGGTGGATCACAAAGTCACCACACAATCCGAGCACAGGGTCAAGGCCACACGGCCAGTTCACATGCAAGAGTACACACATATATATAAAACTAGACAAGCAAGAGCAGGTATATATATATGTGAGAGTACAGGCAAGGTCAAGAGGAGAGCAAGTGAGGCAAGACGGGCACAAGACCCAGCTGAGTGCAGAAGCGCTGATGATCACAAGGCGGAAGTGCCTTGGTGAAGACATCAGCAGTGTTGGCCTCAGAGGCCACGTACGCAAGCCGCAACTGACCACGTTGCTGTAGCTCACGAGCAAGGAAGTAGCGGAGAGCAATGTGCTTTGTTCTGTGCTCCAGTCGCTGCTCTCGACACAAGGCCAGCATGGCCTTGTTGTCTACGTACAGGACTGGAGGAGAACGAGGCGGCTCTCCAAGGTCGGTCAGCAGGTAGGTGAGCCAGCGAAGCTCCTGTGCAGCCATGGCCCCGGCGTAGATCTCAGCCTCACAACTCGAGCCAAGAACAGAAGACGAGCGAGTAGCCCGCCACGAAACAGAGCCGGAACCAAGGCTGAAGGTGTAACCCTGTGACGACCGCTGCGTAGCCTGGTCGTCAGCCCAAGAAGCGTCCGCGTGCCCAGTGAGGACCACTGGACTCCGCCCTCCAAGCACTAGCCCCATGCCCGACGTACTGCACAAGTAGCGCAACACCCTCTTCGCTGCAGCCATGTGCTCTGGTCTGTGTCTCCCAGGAGCAACATAGCGTGCGAGAATGCTAAGAGGGTATGCAAGGTCAGGTCGTGTGCAGGTCATCAGGTACATGAGGCAGCCAACAAGCTCTGGGTACGGGCCACTCGACTCTACGGACTCATCCGAAGGCAGAGCTGAGAGCGAGTGGCGAGTAGACAGAGGAGTGGCCTGAGGCGAGGAGTACGTGAAGCCGAAGCGCTGAAGGACCTGCTGCACCATGTGTGACTGAGTCAGGGTAATGGTGCGGCGTGCTCTGTCCCGGGTGATCTGCAAGCCAAGGTAGCTGCGCAGTTCACCCAGGTCTGTGCACGTGTGTCTCTTCTGCAGCTCGGACTTCACGTAGGCGAGTCCAGCAGTGTCAGCTGTGGCAAAGACCAAGTCGTCGACGTACACGAGGATGTAGAACGGCGGCAGAGAGGTGTCGGTGCGTAGAAACAGCGACGGGTCGGCAGTAGAAGGAGCAAACCCAAGAGCCGCAAGTGTAGTCCTCAGTGTGTCGTGCCACTCACGTGGCGCCTGGCGGAGACCGTAGACTGGACGCCGGAGACTCCACTGGGTACCAGAAGGGAAAGACCCAGTGAAGCCAGGTGGGCGACGCAGCCAGATCTCCTCGTGCAGGCTGCCCTGCAAGAAAGCTGTGCTGAAGTCAAGAGAGTGCAGCTCGTAGTCACGGTGAGCAGCAACGTGCAGCAGTACCCGAAGAGTGGTCATCTTCGGGGTGGGGGAGAAGGTCTGAAAGTAGTCAACTCCCTGCCGCTGACTGAAGCCACGAGCCACGTAACGCGCCTTGAAGACAGGCGGAGAACCCGGCGGCCGCTTCACCCTGAAGATCCACATGCCACTGACGATGTTCGCCCCAGGAGGGGGGACAGCGTCAACATAGGTGCCTGTGGACTTCCAGGAAGCCATCTCTGCATCCATAGCTGCCTGCCACTGAGAGGAGTAGGGACCCTCTATCGCCTCCGCGTAAGAGCGCGGAGTCGGGATGTCAAGTGCATCCGGGTCTCCCTCAGGGGTAAGCAGTACG